ACACACACACACACACACACACACACACACACACACATATATATATATATGAAAGTAGAAATGGAATATTGATGATAACATGCATGATTAAGCCACTATGCAGTTTATCATAGATGGGAAACCACATTTAGTATGTTGTAATGATGCTTAGGGAATGAATGTGAATTAATTTTAAAAAAATTTTCAGGAGAAAAAAGAAACAACAAAACACTAAAACTGTTATCGAAATAAGAAAAATGCATATTTGATGACCACAGTAAGCTATATAGCCCCAGATAAGTACTACTTTATAGTCTGTTCATTCTATTCACTGAAGCTTTTGCCTAAAGTCAGACTTGGGTTCATGTATATGTATATATCAGCTGTGCTTGCTCTTACAAATATTTAGACAAATTTAGTTCATTAGCAAATCAATTAAATGGGGTTAGGGGGAAGGCATAGAAAGCAACCATGGATACCAGAGACAATGTAGGAGGAGTGTTGGACAGGACAGAGGGTGAGGGGTAGGGAATCAAGGATGGCAAAAAAAAAGAAAAAAGGCAAAATATACAAGACATAAGAAATGGAAAATTATTTGTTGATAACATGTATGTTGATGTGCTTGATTGAGCCAATATACAGTGTATTTTGGATGGAAAATTCATTTTGCATGTTGTAATGATATATAGTGAATTGATGTAAAAAATAAATTTAAAGGAAAAAAATAAAAGGTAGGTGCCACGTAAAAGATGAATTCTGCACCTCAGGGAGCCGTACTTGCCATGAAGATCTAGGTGCTTGATTTAGAGGGGCAGAAATGATTGTAAAGGAGAGTAAGATGTAAAGGAATAGTCTCAAATGCATAGTCTCTGGTGGAGAACAAAATTAAACCTTAATGGTACTAGGAGAGACAGAAACGGGGAAAATTCTAAAATCCCCTAAGACAAAAGAGAAGCACATAATTGGAGGACTGACAACTTCTCTAAATACAACAAACAATAATAGTTACAAATGTTTCTCCACCATATGTGTGTTTGATTGTGGCTTTTACTATATTATAATGAAATATCTAAAGTTAAAAAATTTTCATTTTTCTCTATTAAAGCTCTAAATACCGTGGCAGTGAACACTGGTTCTGGAGTTGGTGGCTTGATTTTCTTGTTACTGCTGTTATTTCATGGACTGTAATAATACCATTGTTATGCTTTCCACAAAATATAAGAGGTGACTATAAAAATATAATTCATTATCGTAAAACATTTTCCCTCTGCTCCTTACCCTTGGTTCAATTCTCAGAGCTTGGCTACATTCCTGGGTAAATGTGCTTTTTCTACTCGTAGTGGTCTGTCATAGATAGTGTCAAATGCAAGTGTTACTTGAACCCATGGATCCACATTACAACAAATATGATTTTATTTATGTATCAGATTTCATTAGTACATAGTTTATATTTTTAGTCTTCTTTTAAAAATGCTTTATGAGCGTACCTGAAAATTTTCATGGAAAAATGGAATTAAAGCACTAATTTATTTGGGTGTAAAATTCTTTTTGTCTTGGGTTTTTTTCATAGGATGACTGAGTTCTCCATTGAGAGACAGAGAGAGACAGAGGGAAAGTGAGAAATCACACCCTGTATGTGGGGGGGAGGACCATACCATAATTCCTTCTCCATTCTCCTCTTGAGATTTTGGGAATGCCCATGCACTAACTCTGTGTGATTTTCAGGCCACCAGGTCTAGGACTCAGAACCATGTTCAGCCATGTGCGAGCCTAGCACCTTAACTACTATTCCGTCTGCTGGCCCTTCCAGAATTTAAAAAATCCATTCTTTTGTTTTTATTTATATGATATGTGTTTTCCATGAACATTTTAAGGATACATTGTATATTTGGAGTTTATAAATTGTATTTTTTTTTTTTTTTGGAGAGGCTTTTGCTGCAGGGCGTGTGCACTGGCGAGAGAGAAAGACAGAAAGCGAGAAATCACCCCCCAGGGGCGATGGCCACGCCACAATCTGACTTGAACCACAGTCGACTACGTGGGAGTCCAGTGACATAGCCATTACGCCAACTGCAGGTCCCCATAAATTGTATTAAATAAAGCATATTTGAAAAAATAAACTTATAATTTCATTTAAATAATTTTTGAAGGTTTTTGCCATAGGTCATGTGCATTTGCTAGAGAGAGAAAGACTGAGATGGTGAGAGGGAAAGTGAGAAATCATCTGTTTTCCTTCATTTCTCCTCCTGGGACCCTGGGCATGTACACACATGTGCCTGGCATATTTTTCAAGCCACAAGGTCTCAGACTTGAACTGTGATCAGTTTTGTGGGAGTCCAGCACCTTAATCACTACAACACCTGGTGTCCCCATTTAAATAATTTTTTAAATTATGCATTATTTGATGTATTTACTATCACAAAACATTATTATAAGGTAAATAATAACTATTAGAATTCTTTTTTTTTTTTTTTTTTGAGAGGTTTTTCACTATAGGGCGCGTGCGCTCGCCAGACAGACAGAGAGAAACAGAGAGACAGAAAGCGAGAAATCACCCCCCAGAGGGGATGGCCACGCCGCAATCCCTTCTCCTCCATTCTCCTCTCGGGATCTTGGGCACGCACGCACACACGCCCGGCGTGGGTTTTAAGCCACCGGGTCCGGGACGCGAACCGCGGTCGACTATGTGGGAGTCCAGCGACATAGCCATTACGCTAACTGCTGGTTCCCGAATAACTATTAGAATTCTAAAGTGGGGCCAACAGGTGGCATAGTGGTTAAGGTGCTGGATTCCCACATGGCCAACTGAGGTTAGAGTCCTGGATCTTGAGGCTTGAAACTCATGCCAGGCATATGTGTGTATGTGCCCCAAATTCTGAGAGGAGAATGGAAGGAAAGGGATGGTGGCACGATTACCTCCTCTAGGGGGTGATTTTTCATTTTCTCTGTCTCTGTTGAGTTCATGCACCCTATGGCAAAAATCTCTCTCTAAAAAAGTTCTAAAGCTATTAGTGAAAACACTAAAAGTATGTATGAAGTCAGAGAAACATTCTCTTGATGACGGTACATTTCATTGATACAAAATACTTTGAGTAAAATCAAAGATTTTTTATTTTTTTATTTTTGGGGCTGAGCTGTTGAATAAAGTAGCAACTTGCCATATGCCATAAATTAAATTAAAAATATATTTACTCAGTCATAACAGCTATATATCAAATGTTTAATAGCCACATGTAGCTAAGGGATACAGTATTACTGTAAGTAGACAGATTTTATTATCACAGATGATCCTTTAGGAAGACATTGCTTTAGAATAACATTTTTTTAATTAATTGGATTGACTTTAGCTTGTTCAAAAATAGGACCAGCAGTTGGCATAATGGCTATGTTGGTGAACTCTCATGTAGTCAATCATGGTTCGACTCCCAGCCCTGGTGGCTTAAACTCATGCCGGGCGTATCTGCGTGCATGCCCAAGATCCTGAGAGGAGAATGGAGGAGAAAGGATTGTGGCATGACTAGCTCTCCTATGGGGGTGATTTCTTGCTTTCTGTCTCTGTGTCTCTCTCTGTCTTTCTGGAGAGGGCACGCGCTGTATAGCAAAAACCTCTCTCTCAAAAAAAAAAAAGTTCCCTTGATATTGCAGGACAAACTGGATTTATAGGGGTACATATGCTTTATGTATATTTTACTTATTTGAGCATGTCACCAGATTCTTTTACTTGTTAATCTATAGGTACAGCAGAGATAAAAGCTAAAAAACAGAAACAGCTTCAAATGATGGAAAACAAGCTTAAAAATAAAGAACTTGGACGTAAAATCAGCGACTTATGTTCTGCTGTTTTGGTAGGGTAAAATATTTTATGCAAACAATCCAATTAAGTTAACCTGTGCAGTTTTCTAATAATGAACTTAAGAAAATAATCATAAAGTGTCTAATTAAAATTGGAGTGGGATTTCTGAAGTCTCTTAATTAACCCTATTCATTTTACCAATAATAGAAGGTAGGGCCCATTTCATCTAAGTGGTATTACCAGTAACTGGGCTAGTGTTAAAGATTAGTACCAGCTATTTTCCTTCTATTTCTTTTAATTTTACTTATTTATTATTTTGTGTTTATACTTCCCCTGCAGAAATACATGAGGCATTTAATGAAAGGACATGCAAGCATCCATATTATCTTCTTTATTATGTTTAAATGACTTAGAAGAGAACTCTAGAAGTTAAAAATATTCCCACAAAAATATGATTTCATGTAAAACACCCCAATATTGAATGGAAAAAATCCATAGGTGAGAAACAAGGGTTACCATAAAGACAGTGTAGAGTAAAACATGCCAGTTTCTAAATAGTGATCCTACTTCCAGTTTGTTTTCTCTCCCACTCCTACCTTCATCTTTTAATTTGTCTGCAGAGTTATATTAATATTCCTCACATGCAGATTTTATCAAGTCATGATCTAGATTACTTGGTAGATGAATTTTACACCCTCTTAACAGGACTTTAAAAACCCTTTATAATATTGTCAGCTACAATTCCTTACCTCAGTTCTTTGAGATTGTATCCCTGTCTCCCCACCTTACAGTCACCTGTTCTTCCCTGGACACGTCAGGTACCTTTGTGGTTTTCTTGTACATTTGTGGATGCTAAACTCATGTGCTCTTTTTTCTTCCCTATGCCAAAACAAAAACAAAAACAAAAGCAAAATAAAACCTTTGTCAAGTCCTACTTTGTGTTCTTAGGCAAAATGAGTTTCTCCCTCTTTAATGTTTTGATAGACTTTTGATATAATGTAAATGTACATATACACACACAAATATGTATATATGGGATACACACATATATGTGTATGCTTTTATTACATTAGATTAACTCTTCCTAAAATGAATGGATTTGTTGTATAAAGTTGGAAATTGTTTTACTTATTTCTATTGATGTAGTGTTTACCTCTAAAAAGCAATGGTGAATAGGGCGAAACTTATTCTATTTAAAAACTCTGGAGATAAGCCAAAAGCATCCAACAAATTCAAAACAGTTCTTTCATGAAAAGTTACTGAAGTTTGCTTAGAAGAGTGACCAAGTGAGGAGGCATTTAAATTTTTATTAAATCATGAATCATTTGTAATAAATGATTATATTTCATTCATATTTTAATTTTTATAAAAATATTACACATTCATATTCTAACTATATAGAAACCAATTAGTTATAATCTCATATTATTAAACATTAAAATACAATAATTAAAAATCTCTTCAGGAAATTTAAAAAATCTTTTTTTTTTAAAATTTTTGCGATAGGGCACATGTGCATGTGAGAGAGGGACAGAGAGAAAGAGATGGGGAAAGTGAGAAAGCTCCCTTCAGGAGGGATGGCAGCACTGCAATCCCTTCTCCTCCATTCGCCTCTTGGTATTCTGGGCATGTACACAATTCATGCCTGATGTATTTTCAGGTCTCTGGGTCTGGGATTCAGACTGTGTGGTGGCTATGTGGAATCCAGCCACCTTAACAAATGTGCCACTGACTGGCCCAACAAGAATGTTTTAAGTTTTTTTTTTTCCCCATTTTGGATTACTGCCAGAAAAGAAACAAAAGTACTCTTTCACTCTTGAAAATAGAAGATTATTATTATTGCTAGACAGAACACAAACAATATAATAACCAGTCAAAATCTTAGATCTCTGATTTAGCACCTGTCTGGGTAGGTAACTAGAAGATATCTTAATCATTTTAAAGTTTATCAGAACTTGAGACTTCAGAATGATCGAATGAGAACCTTGGAATCCTTACCTTTAAGAAGCAATGGTGAATAGAGTAAAACTTACTCTATTTAAAAACTCTGGAGATAAAAACCAAAAGCATCCAACAAATTCAAAACAGTTCTTTCATGAAAAGTTACTGAAGTTTGTGTAGAAGAGTGACCAAGTGAGGAGGCATTTAAATGTGGGACCTCTCTCATTCTCTTCCTTACCTCCATGGCCTGGTAGCTCTGACATTCTTTCTGCCGCAGGAGGTGGTTGATGACTTAGAGCTCCATGGAATAGCCCAGGATCATTGCAGTCCAAAATAACAATATTAGTGGCAAACAGTTGGGAAAAGTCAACATCAGAGGTGCCAAAGTCAATAATGAAGGTTGGTGCAAACAGCAGACCAGCCAAAATTTGCAAAGGTGTATCTGGGCAATGATAGGGGACTTTGAGAGCTCTGATGTATTCCTGGGGATCTGTAAGTGTTCACAGGCTCAGGAGTCATCAGCGATGATCCCAGTTATTTCCTGGGTTCCAGCTGACCCTCTCTGTACATGTAGAGAGTGAAAGTAGAGGCAGATTGTGAAAGGCCTGTCTTTGAATATGTGATTGAATCCACATACAGTTCTGCTTAGTAAGTGTGGAAGCCTCAGCTGCTCAAGCTATATAAGGAAAAATGCCATGTGGTCATTGGGTGGCCATCAAGGTCCGCTGACCCAGGTTGATGCCTAGAAAGCCAGGCTTAAAAATAAAGAAAATAATTAGAAATAAAAAAAACACATAGATTTCAGTGGCTGAACACTCCTGGAGAGAGAGAGAGCATGTATTTAATTCTGCACAGAAGGTAATACATGAAAACCAGAAAACAACAACAGCTGCATGTGGGGAGGTTAGAATCCAGAAAAGCTGCAAGATATTATCTAAAATCTACAATTAAAAAAAAAACATTAAAAATTCAAGGAAAGACAAAATGGCCCATATTTGGGGAAAAAAAGTCGTTACAATTCATCTCTGATATGGCACAGGTGTTAGGCTTAGACACAAAGTAGACAAAGACTATTTTGTCTTTGAGTGATTTCTCACTTTCTGTTTCTCTGTCTGTCTGTCTTTCTTTCAGGCAAACACACACGCCCTATAGCAAAAACCTCTCCAAAATAAAAGAAGAAACAAAATAAGTAGAATATGACTGTATCTGACAAGCAGATAGTTTAAGACTGGAGAAAGGAAATTTTAATTTTGTTTTGTGGGAGATAAGAGTTTCAAATCTGAATAGATTTGTGTAATCAATCATTGGTCCAGTTAGAGATAGATAAAATTGTACATAACAATATGTCATTAGGAAGACAGAGAGAAAACAGTAACTTTTACTCACTCTCTGTGAGTTCTTGAAGACCATAGTACTGTACTGTGCATGAAGAGATAAGTCCTCAAAACAAACAAGCAATGCTAGACAAAACTGGAGAGAAGAGTTTTGTATAACAAGTACGGTTGTAATAATAAATATATAAATGCAATATGAAACTTGTGGAGACCACTGTCTATAAAATAATTGGTGAATTTGTACTTAAATCTGCTTGTGTGTAAAATGGTTGAATCTGAATCTTTAGCCTTTTAGTTGGGAAATTTAATCAATTGACATTCAAAATTATCATCACTATATGATATATATATTTCTATGTTATCACTATATGATATATCTCCCTGTTATTTTGTTACTGTTCCTTTTTCCTATTTTTTTTTCTCTTCTTTTTGTCCTCCTTTAGTTTTACTATTGTAGTATTCACTCAAGTACCTGAAGAGCTGGTTTAGTTTTGGTAAATTCCTTCAGCATTTGTTTGTCTGGGAATGATTTTATTTCTCCTTTACATTTAAAGGATAATCGTGCTGGGTATAGTAGTCTTGGCTAAAATTGTTTTTCTTTTAGAGTTTTATATATGTCTTCCCATTCTTTCCTTGGCTACATTGTTTCAGTTGAGAACTCTGAACTTGGTGTAATAGGGTAACCTTCCTAAGTAACCTGGTATTTCCCTCAGGCTATTTTTAGAATATTGTCTTTGTCTATGACTTTTACCAATTTGGCTATGATATACTTTAGAGAGAATATTCTTATGTCAAATCTACTTAATGTTCTTTGTATTTCTTGGATTTGGATATCCATATGCCTCTCCAAATTTGGAAACTTTCAGATAATATAGCAAGAAATATTTTCTAAGCCTTTACCTATCTCTTTGTCTTTTGGAATACCTATCATGTGGCTATTTGGCTGTTTAATGGTATCTAGGATTTCCCAAATGTTGTTTTCAATTTTAATGGCTATTCAGCCATTCTTTTCAGTTGTTTGGATTGAAATGGAAGGATTTGTCTTCAAGGTCAGAGATTCTTTTTTCTGCTTGGTCTGATCTGCTGTTGATACTTTCAAGGGAGGTTTTTTGTTGTTGTTGTTGTTGTTGTTTTAGAGTTTTTTTCTATAGGGCATGTGTGCTCTCACCAGAAAGACAGAGAGAGACAGAGAGACAGAAAGCGAGAAATCAACTCCCAGAGGAATGGCCATGCCCCAATCCCTTCTCTTTCATTCTCCTCTCAGGATCTTGGGCACACACACACACACACACACACACACACACACACACACAACTGGCATGAGTCCAAGCCACTGGGTCCGGAACTCGAACTGCAGTTGGCTACATGGGAGTTCAGCAACATAACCATTACGCTAACTGCTGGTCCCTGAAGAAAGGTTTTGATTTCATGCATTGTATTTTTTTTAATCTCTAGAAGTTCTGTTTGATTCTTTTTCTGTGTGTCTATCTCTTTATGGTGTTCCTCACTCAAGTACAGAAGGATTTTCTCATTTTCTGGAATTGGTTGGTTTCTCTTGCATCTCATTGAGTTCTATTATAATGAATATTTCGAATTCTTATTCTGACATTTCTGTGATCTCTTGTGTATTATCCATTGTGGTGAGGAATTATTATGTTTCTTTTGTGTGTGGAGGTATCTCTTGTTTTTCTCCAATTTCGTGGAACTCTGCTTTGATTTTCAGTCATCTGGTGATAGACTCAACTCTTCCTACTTCTTTGGGGCAATGTTTCTGTAGCTGTGTGTTCATACACTAACCTATGGTGTGAGCTAGTTCTGTCAGTTTCCCTCATCTACTGTGATTGGGAGTGTGGAATCTACAGTGGGAGTTTTGGATTCAGGTTTTCTGAAAGGAGTTTCTCTCCTTTTACTGATGGTGTAGAGTTGTGGGATAGAATTCCTCCAAAATGTCAGTCTTCAGATGTTTGGTGCCTGTATACATTCTAGCTAGACAGGTAGAATGCAAGGTGGTAGTCCAACTTGTGCGTGAACTGGAGTAGTCCTTCCTCCCCCCACTGCAGGCTGGATAAGGGTCTTTGCTGATCAGCTCAAGGTGGGCAGCCTTTGCTTCCCTATTGCTTCTTCTATCTCTGGGACTTGAAAATGTTAATTAAGTTAAAAAAAATATGCTTAAAACAACAGTGGGGCCAGTTGACGGCATAGTGATTATATATATATATTTTTTTTTTTTTTTTTGGAGTTTTTTTTTTTTTTTTTTTTTTTTTTTTTTTGCTATGGCACGCGTGCGCCGCCCAAAAAGCTATAGGGCACGTGTGCTCGCCAGACAGAGAGAGACAGAGAGACAGAAAGCGAGAAATCACCCCCCCAGGGGGGATGGCCACATCGCAACCCTTCTCCATTCTCCTCTCAGGATCTTGGGCACGCACGCACATGCGCCTGGCATGAGTTTAAGCCACCAGGTCCGGGACTCAAAATGCGGTCGACTACGTGGGAGTCTAGCAACATAGCCATTATGCTAACTGCTGATACCAGGCATAGTGGTTATATTGCTGGACTCTTGCATGGCTGACTGCAGTTTGAGTCCTAGACCTGGTAGCTTGAAAATAATGCCAAGTGCGTGTGTGTGCATGCAGGAGAATAGAGGAAAAAGGATTGCAGCATGGCCATCCCCCGGGCAGTGATTTCTCACTTTTTTTCCTCACTTCTTTATCTCTGTCTCTCTCTAGAGCAAGCACATGCACCCAAGAGCAAAAACCTCTAAAAAAAGAAAAAGTATTTTTGAAGATTATATATATATACAACTAAGGAAACATAGAAATAAGTTTGAAAGTTAATATTGGGTCATCAGAAAAGTTGTGACACATTTTTGCAGGAAAAACACAGAAATATGTCATGACTGTTCAAATACCCAATATTTTAATCAAATTCACTATCACATTAATTACTTTACATAGTATAGTAGATAAAAGTAAACCATCACGTCCTAATAAGATTTCCAGATAAATTCAACAATTTACTGAAGTGCAGAATTTAAATTTGTAGGTGGAATTCCACAAGTAAAATATAGTAGAATATTGACTAAAAAAAAGTATAATGATTTTCCTTGAGTATTACTTAATTTATTTTGCTTCATGTTTTAGTTAAATAAAAAAGAGTTGCTAGGAAAAAATAGGTAAACAAAAGTAAAGGGAAATTCCTTATACCTGATCAAAGACCATCCCTTTTCCCCTAACCTTTCTAACAAATAGGCCCAGAAATAAAAGTCATAGATGATATGGTGAGCAAATTAAAATAAAAATGGTCAGACATTACCATTCACTAAATCACGTGTATTAGTAAATGGTAGATTTGTTTGGAGATACATATACACATCATCACTTTAAGCTTGAAAAGATAAATCGATCAATCATTAATGATTGGATGGGTATTTCCAGTCTTCTTTACCTAAGAAAATGAAATGATTAATATGCAATTTATTTCTATTTCAGATTCTGATGAAGAATCCAGTGTTTGTATGCCTATCTCTGTCCAAAGCTACAGAACACTTAATTCGTATGGGAGCTTTTAAAGTTTTGCCTATCTATTTATCAAATCAGTTTATATTAACACCCCAACTGGCAACTACACTTGCAGGTAGACTTTTCTTCTCATTGTGCTCATTTAAAAAATTTCACATAAAGTCTTCTTAAGTGTATTTGTGAAATATTTTAAATAAGGAGAAAATACAAGGAGTAATCTATCTACATAGCATTTGCTCAAATTTTAAAATACATAAGCAGTTTGCCAACCTTGCTTCTATGTACTCATGTAAGTAAGCGTTGTTTTAGATTCATTGTATAGTGTGTGCACATGCATGAGGAAAGACAGAGCAGGAAGAGAGAGAGAGAGAGAGACAGAGAGAGACAGATGAGGAGCGGAGAGAGAGAAGAGCCCTCCACACCGTCCGGTTCTGCTGCAGTCCCACAGCTGGTAGGGCTTTATCAGGAACCCTTGATGGTGAGGAGGTGACCATACTGAAATCAGAGCCAGTGAGTCTGAGGCTTCTGACTCTTTTAGCAACTGATTATTATCTACTAATTAAAGATTTGAGTATGAGAGGGTAGTGGTAACCACACCAAATCCTGACCCGCCCCTCGTAGCAAATAGCAGTAGGAGTAAGTGGCCATGCAGCATGAATGAAAACTGGCCTTTATCCTTAGTTTCCCAACAGAATACAAAAGAAAGCTCAGGCAATGTCCAGAGAGCATCTGAAGTACGATTGTCTGTGCAGTAGATTTAATTACACTGCAGGGTCCGGAACAGCCGTGGCTACAGTTAATAGGTCTTGTGGCCAAATTGCATTTTCCAAAGGTGGCTTCAACATTATCTGTTCTTACATGCGTCTGACCTTGGTACTCATTCCACTGAGTGGCTGGGTCTACGTCCTTCTCTCTAGACTAGGCAAGCCCTCGCTAGTGAAACAGATCCAACGGTAGGTCACAAAATATGATGTGCTTTGCTCAGCTTGCCACAAGACCTATTATAAAGCCATAACAATTAAGATAGTAAATCGGTATGAGAACAAAGCAGCAGAACAGAGGGTCTCGCACCTAAGGTGACCTAATTTGAAGCAGAGGTAATAATGTAGTATTGTGCTATTGACTCTATTAGGCATTTTTGTGAAAAAGAAAAATGGTGAATTTTGACTTCTTGTCCACTACATACCATTTCTAGATGGATCATAAATGTAAATGTGAATGATAAAACAATAAAACGGTTTAGAATAGGACATAGAAAAATATCTTTATTCTTTTTTGAAATTTGATCAGACAGAGAGAGAAAGGGAAAGTGAGAAAGAAAGCAGGTCATTGAACTGCAGTCGGCCATGTGGGAGTCCAGCACCTCAACCACCACACCACTTGCTGGCTCTAATCTTCTTATCTTCAAATCTACTCACCCTTTCTTTCAGAGGCAGTTAGTACTCATAATAACTGAATGATTGAATGTATAAGATAAATTAGAATATTAGATAAATAAATAGAAAACAGAAAAAAAACTACTGAGGTTCTGGGGCAAAATGTGGTTTACTTTTAACATTCCTTACCTATAAGCTTACTGCTTACCCTTCTGAAGTCCAATTGAGTTTCCCTTATAAAAATTTTCTTGGAAAATATTGCTCCCACTCTATTTGTATTTTTCCCTAATAAATGCATTTGTCTATAAATGTTCACCTTTTAACACTGACATATTTACTCTGTGTCCAGGATCCTCTGAGCACTTAAATATTAACACATTGAATTCTAACAACTTTATAGTGGAGGTTCCATTTTTTATAGATATTATTTAATAATATTCCACAATTTGATACAATTTTACTTACTCATCAATTCTAATTATTTTTACTTTTTATAAGAATTTTAAAGCCATATATAAATATAGATATAGATATAGATATATAAATATATCTATTATATTATGATAGAGAATGTGGGTGTGATCAAAAGAAAGATTAAAGTAAGAGAGAGAAAAGCACTGACAGGGTCTGCTGGTGCTATGATCCCTTTGTCCCAGCGCTTCAGTTCCTCAGGATTTTGGGCCCCACGTGTATCCGGAGTCTTCGGTCTGAACCCACAGTCGTCCTTGTGCCTCCCATCACTGAAGTCCAGGGCACTCTAAGACTGTGCCACCTGGCTTAGCATAAAGCCACGAATTATTGAGAAGAGATTTCTAGTTTTTAAATACATGCTTTGCTTTCTCTTTTGAAATAAACGATTGTTCCTATCTACTAGGAGATGATAAGCCTCCATTTATTAGAAAGCTGAATTAAAATACATTTGTTAAGGGATTTTCAGTTTTCTTCTTGAAATGTATGCAGTTTTTTTTTTACACAATTTATTTTATAGCATGTCATTAGAAATATACATGTTCTTGATATATGTTTTCATGGCTCATTTTAAAAATTATTTTTAAACTTTGCTTTGTAAAAAAATTATACAATTTGAGACAGTTGATTTTATTTACCATTATTGCGAATTGTTCAATTTTCCTTTTTCTTTTCTTTTCTTTTTTTTTTTTTTAATTTACTGTCCTTTTAGCTTGCCTTTTTCTCTTACTATCCTGTCTTCCTTGATAGGCTTAATTTTTATTCTTTTTCCCCTTTGGTTGGCTTAACTACCACTGATAGTTCACTACCCTCATTCCCCAGGGTGTGTGCGTGTGTGTGTGTGTGTGTGTGTGTGTTTGGTTTAGGTTTTTAATTTTATCTAAAAAAGAAAAGCACAACAAACTAGCTACCAGTGCAATTATTATTACTTTGCAAATAGTATACTCTGTTAGCATTTACATTTTTTTCTTTAAAATAAATTTGTTTTTCAGTTTGATTATCTTTCCCTCAGCCTTGCAGCCAGGGCCATGGGTACCTGAGAGGGCCTGGTGTGTTCAGGTCAACCTGGGGTCTGAACCCGCGCCTCCGCATGGTTCCAGTGTCACGCAGAAGTGCCCGACCATCTGTATCACTATGGCTGGGCTTTTGCTTTATTTTCAGTGTTATGTAGTGTTTCTACCTTGTTTCTTTACGTCTAAGAATAAATTTTTAAAAATGAAAAACAAACACAAAAATGTCAACATTTCAAGTGTACTTTTATTTCCAGGACTAGTTTTTTAAAAAATTACGTAAATTTCTCATTCGCAACTATAATTTTCAAACATTGTTTCCCTGGTATTCCTTTTATATTTTTCACAACTGCTATAAAATGTTTTGTAGAACCTCTTATTTTGTTCCCTTTATCTTCTGAAAAAAAAATCCCTTATGTTTTGAACAATTTAAAATGTACAGAAACACTGAAGATAGAGTACAGAGAGTTCCCATGTACTGCACACTCAGTTTCGCCTCTTATTGACGTTTTATGTTAGTATGGTAGATTTGTTGTGATTAATGAACCAATATTAATACAATTAACCGAATAGTTTATTTAGATTTTCTCAGTTTTTCTCAATGTCCTTTTTCTGTTCCAGGGTCTTACTCAAGTTGTCATATTATATTTAGTGGTCGTATTTTCTTATTTCCTCCTGGTTATGACAGTTTCTCTGTCTTCCCTTGTTTTTGATAATTTTACAACTTCTAGGAGTGCTGGTCAGGTATTCTGTATTTCTCTATAGGAAATTGTGTAGTATTTTTTTAAAAAAATCATGATTAGCCTGGTTATGGGTTATAGAAGGAAGATCTACAGAAGTAAAGTGCCATTTTCATCACATCACATCAAGTGTCATATTAATTCACATCACCGACTACTTATATTTTATTTCTTCCACATTTTATTGAATCACAAAATATCTTAAACTAAAAATATGGACAAACCTAGAATCTACTTACTAGTGTACTTGTAATTTTCTTCTGAAACTTTTTTATCATGAATTAACTCGCATTCATCCCCTGAGCATTGTCACAGCATATAAAATGTGATTTCCCATCCAGAATATACTGCATAGTGGCTTAATCATACATGTTATCATCAATAATTTTCCATTTCTAATTTCATATATACACACACACACACACACACACACACACACACACACAGTTATATATATATTTATTTTACCCCTATTTCTCACCCTCTGCCATTTCTCACCCTCCTCTCACACTATCTCAGGTGTCTACAATTGTTTTCTATTCCTTTCCCTCCCACATTTTAGAGAGGAGAATGGAGGAGAAGGGATTGCGGCGTGACCATCCCCCCTGGGGGGTGATTTCTTGCTTTCTGTCTCTAATGTCTCTCTCTGTCTGGCGAGCGCACGCGACCTATAGCGAAAATCTCTCCAAAAAAAAAGAAGTCTTAAATATTCTAACTACTTTCAGCAGCAGGTTCAGCTAGTGTGTGTGTGTGTGTGTGTGTGTGTGTGTGTGTATGTATATATATATATATATATATATATATATATAACTGTGAATACATGTCTGACTTTAGGTGTGAAACTTTGAGTAGAATAAATATACTATAAAGTAGCACCTAGCTGATGCTATATAGCTTACTGTAGTCATTATATAGGTATTTTTAAATATATTTTTTAATTTCAAGAAAAGCAGTTTTAGTTTTAATAAATCAAAGAAGTGCTAAGGAACTTTGCTTAAAACTTAAAGCCAGGAAACAGGTTAGGATTCTGTTCAAATAGTAGGTACATGAACTTATTGACAGCTCAAGACAGGAAAAAGAACCTTAAAGCTGAAAAACAAAGCCTAGAGGAAAATCAGCAATATTTTAGTCAAAAGTCATAAAATGCTATTTCACCAGTTCAGTCTCATGCACTTAATCTATCTTCTGTTGTGGTTCGATCTTCCCAATTGAATTCTGGGATATAATATTCATCTCCAGATGTGTCCCTATGATTAAGTTGGCCATTTTCTTAGTTTTTGAACTCTTATTTCTGTGTGTCTGTATTTCATTTTCCTGCTATAGCACTCCCTTGAGAATTTCTTGGAAATCTGGTCTGGTGTTGGTAAATTCTTTCAGGTTTTGTTTATCTGAGAATATTCTTGTCTTTTCTTCTCATATGAAGGATAATCTTGCCAGGTACAGTATCCTTGGTTGAAATTGCTTTTCCTTTAACAGTTTGAATATATTTTCCCATTCTTTCCTCACTCACATTGTTTCCAATGAGAGGTCTGCTGTTATTCTGAGGGGATATCATTTGTAGGTAACTTGCCATTTCTCTCTTGCCAATCTTAGTATCTTGTCTTTGTGGTTTTGGTCAACCTGGCTATAATGTGTCTCGGAGAAGATCTTCTTGGGTTGATTCTATTTGGAGTCCTTTGTATTTCTTGGGACTTGATCTTTGAATGCCTCTCTAGGTTTGGAAAGTTTTCTTCTAGGATTTAATGGAATAGATAGATTATCAAAGCCCTTATGAGTCTCTTCGCCTTCTGGGATACCAGTTATCTGGATGTTTGGACGTTTGATGGTATTTCATTTTTCTCATATATTATTCTCATTTTTTAGGATAATTTTCTCAGTCTTTGTGGTGGATTTTTTTAGGCCAGCGATTCTATCTTCTACATCTGAGATTTGATTTTCTGTATGATGTAGTCTGCTTTTAATACTTTCAAGGAGGGTTTTGACTTCCTGTATTATAGCCTTCACCTCTAACAGGTGCTTTTTATTCTTTTTTTTATAGTGTGTATTCCCTCTTTTAGATCTTTCAAGAATTTCCTCACCTCCTGGAACTTGTCCTCTCCTTTCTCCTGCCTCTTCTGCAGTTCATTGTCTCTCTTCTCTTCCATCTCTGTTAGCTTTGTCACTATGAATAAATTCTTTATCAGACATTTCCATGAATTTTATTGTACTGTCTGAGGATGAGAGGAGTTATTCTTTTCCCTTGGAGGAGAGATACTTTCATTCTCTCCCATATTCTTTGTGACCCTGCAGTGATTTCTAGTCATCTGAGGGATGGTGTGTTTCTTCCTAATTGTTGAAGTTTAGTATGCGCATTCAGAGGCATGCAGGAAGAGGTGATCTGCAATCTCTCTTCTGTTTCATTTTTACTCTTTGTGTATCAGATTCAGTGGGGATAGAGGAATATACTGACCCTAATTGTATTCAGATGTTTGAATCCTGTTCACTTGGACCTGTCTAGACTCTTGGTGCATAGAGACTGAGCAGCCAATGAATAAAGATAAAGAAAAAGGAAAAGAATTGGAAAAGAGGAAAGAAGAAAAAAATGAAAAAGAAGAAAGAAAAACAATAATAAAAATTAGATTTTAATTTTAGGAAGCAAAAAATAAAAATCTTCATTTTTGGTCAATGAAAGCATTACTTTACAACTGAAGTTTGGTATCCATCTCAGGATGGGCCTGGCCTGGATTTCAGCCTATCCTAAATGAAATGGGGAAAGGCACCAATTAGCACCATAAAGGAGAGACTTGAAACCCAGAGAATACTTTACCTTAAAAAAAAAAAAATTAAAAGTCACAGGGAGACACAGCAAGACAGAGAGAGACAGAGAGAAATGGAGAGAAGGAGACAGAAGTGGCCCTACCTACTAGAAATGAATCTGGAGAGGAAAGTCTCAGCAGAAAATCTTCATTTTGTGTCAAGGAAAGCACTATTTCTTAACTCAAGTTCCGTATCCATCTCAGGATGGGCCTGGGCTGAGTTTCTGCCTTTTCTAAATGAATGTGACTGACTACTTTTGAATTTGACTTTGATCCCCTTCCTGAGTGTCAGGTTTCTCCACTGTAGTATCTTTTTTTTTTTTTTTTTTTTTTTCTTCCTGTAGAGTGTGTGCACTCATAGAAACATAGAGGGACACAGAGAAAGTGAGAAATCATCCCCTCAGAAAGAATGTCCGTGCCACAACCCATGTCCTTCATTCTCCTCTCAGGATTTTTGGATATGCACACACATGTGCCCAGCATGTTTTTCAACACTGGGTCTGGGGTTGGAACCACAGAGTCAGTCATATGGTGCCTTTACTATTACATCGCCTGCTGTCCCTTGAACTCACTGTCTTTTGACTGTTTGTTAGGCTATTCTTTCACCCCTTTTACTATTTTATTACATGCTGTGTGAAGAACAGAAAAAAATTATTTAGAGAGAGATTTTTGCAATAGGCCACTTGTGCCCACTGGAGACACAGAGAGACAGAAAGTGAGAAATCACCCTCCCCCCAGGGGGATGGCCACACCACAGTACCTTCTCCTTCATTCTCCTCTCAAGACTCTGGGCATGCACACGCATGCTCTGGGCATGACTTTAAGCCACTGGGTCTGGGACTCAAACCATGGTCGACTGTGTGGGAGTCCAGTGACATAACCATTACACCATCTGCTGGTTCCCACAGTTATATTTTTTGCCATAGGACGAGTGCCACCACGCCCCCCCACAATTACATATTTTAATGTCTGGGTTTCCTATTTGTGCTTTTTAATCCACCTCTTTTATTCCTTCTTCTTATTTTATTAGTTCTTTATTTTTGTGGAATATTTTACTTCTATATCATTTATCTTTTTGAGCATTCTAAAATCGCTTATTTTCAAGTCTTTAATAAACACTTTTATAATTTAAATTGAGCCTGTGTTGATGGTGGTTTTTGTTGTCTTATTTTCTTATTTTTTTTCTTCCTATATCCTTATTTAAATCTACCATCACTATATACTTTGAGCAGAGAGGTCTGAATTTATTATGCTAATTTATCTGACAACTTTCTAACCATATTTTTTTAAATCCTCTTTTACTTCTTTATGTGCTTGCCTCTTTCCAATCCCTTATTCTTGAACAGAAAAGCATGCCTTATAACGGCTATTCTGCAGTCCCACTTTGCTGTGAGACGTTAATGTTACACATGCGTTCACAGAATCAGTGCGTGGCTTGGTTCAATTCTTGCTAACAAATCTGTTTGTGAATTCTTGCCACTATAATCATACCTCTTGCTACAAACCATACAATTAATCATCCAGCTAATAATACCTCTCATTAGGCAGCTTGCATCTTCTTGAGTAAAGTCCATGGCTTGTCTTAGATGCCACTACTGCACAGGAACAGAAGTTCACCCTCACTTCCCTGGCGTCCAGGAGGCCTATGGTGTCAGTCCCACTCACAGTTTGTATTTTTCATGAGGTTCAGATTTGTTGAGATATTTATCATGCCTTTAAGTATTTTTTCCCTCCCTCTCTTTTAAGTGTATCCATTTTTCTTTCTCTCTCTCTCTGGAGAGAGAGAGAGAGACAGGGATCTATAATAAAGTCTTATCCATGTCATGATCCCCTCAGGTCTCCAGCCAGCCAGGATCACAGGCTTGCAGGTACACCTGGCATGCTCAAGTTGACATGGACCCACACCCTGGGCCCTTCCACATGACCTTAGCACTGCACAGTGGCACCCAGCACTGGGCCAGTGCTGCTGAGTCCCTCTCTGTCTTTTAACTCAAGTCTATGTTTTCTGTATGTTTAGAACAGATAAAAATTGTATCAATGTATGAATTTTCTGTACGGTCAGATTGTTTTTTCTTTACCTGTTTTTTTTTTTTTTTTTTTCCTCCTCCTTTCTTTTAGGACTTATTTTACTCCCAGGAGGTGCTGTTGGCTATTTACTGGGTGGTGTCATAGTTTCCAAGTTACATATGTCCTGTAAAGCTCTTATGATATTTACCATCGTCACGTGTACCGTGTCACTTATTTTGTTTGTGCTTGTCACTTTTATAAGCTGCGATCCAGGGAAACTTGCTGGAATTAATGAAGATTATGATGGGTAAATATAATTTTATTAGATTTTTATATCAGAACTCAAGAGTGTACTTCTTGGTTAATTTAATAGTTATTTCCCTGATAGCCCTTATATGAGAGGAATTTTAAAAAGTCATTGAAAAATGGATTTAAAGCATGGGCTTACATCAAAAATTTTTGAAAGACATACACATTTTTTCCATAATACACATTACCACGAACCTTTTTAAGACCCTTTGTGTATTTTTATCATTCCTAGAATTATTGGGCATGTAAAAGCAATATAAAGGATAGTCTTACCTTTCGAATTAAGGGCATAGATATCACAATGGCATCTTGCTGTATGATTGCTCATGCATTCAGAACGTACTGAAGAAAAAGCACAGTGGAGTAATTCAGAAGCTAGAAGTAAGATTCTGCCTCAGTGTGAGTAGCAACTAGGAGGTGGTACTGTTGGCACAAAGCCAGTCTTACCTTGAATTTCTAAATGGGCTTGTCTTCCTTCTTAACAGACTTCAGAAAATGAGCCTGTAGTACACCTGAAAGTATGCGTAGGTAATATAGCCTTTAAGCTAGATATTTGAAAACTCAAAAGAAATGGACTCTGTTTTGAGACAAAGCAAGCATCAGAAGCAGACTGTGGGGCCAGCAGGTGGTGTGGAGGTTAGGGCACTGATCGACCACACAGTTCCTGTCCTAGACCCAACAGCTTGAAAATCATGCTGCACACGTGTGCCTGCATGCCCCCAGTCCTGAGAGGTTACTAGAGAAGAACTGTGGCATGACCATCCCCCCCCCCGGGGGGGGGTGATTTCTCACTTTCCCTCTTTCTGGCAAGCACATACATCCTGTAGCCAAAAGAAAAAAAAAGAAAAAGAAAGAAAGAAAAAGGAAAAGAAATAAACTCTGATATAGCAGAGATTTCAGAATTTTCTGACTGGAAGAATAATACAGTTTTTGTTAATCTGTGAGGACCCTAAATGGAAAAATGAACAGCATAAAAGAAAAAATACATGATGTCAGCAGAGAAATGGAAGGTCTAAAAAAGGCAAAAGTAAATGCTAGAAATCAAAAATAGTAATAAAAATAAAGAATGCCCTTTATGAACTTACAGGTAGATTGGACCTGGTGAAACAAAGTATTAGTGAGACTGAAGATACGTTGATATAAATCTGCCAAACTAAGAAGCAAACAGAATGGGGGGTGGGGGGAAGGACAGACCTTTTCCGATGTCAGCAAGATGGTAGAATAGATGGTTGCCTACTTGCAGACCCACACAGTAACAGGAATTCTGCAACAATTTGGGACTAGCAGATGGCATAATGGTTACATTGCTGGAATCCCATGTAGTTGACTATGGCTCAGGTCCTTGACTCAATGGCTTAAAACTCAAGCTTGGTGCATGTACATGGGTGCCCAAAATCCCAGGAGGAGAATGGAGGAAAAGGGATAGAGGTGTGACCATTCCCCCAGGAGATGAGTTTTTCACTTTCTGTCTCTCTGGCAAGCACATGCACCCTATAGCAAAAAATCTCTCTCTCGAGACCAGCAGTTGGCGTAATGGCTATGTCGCTGGACTTCCATGTAGTCGACCACAGTTTGAGTCTCAGACCCAGTGGCTTAAACTCATGCCAGGTGCGTGTGTGTGCATGCCCAAGATCCTGAGAGGAGAATGGAGAAGGGATTGCGGCATGGCCATCCCCCTGGGGGTGATTTCTCACTTTCTGTCTCTCTGTCTCTGTCTTTCTGGTGAGTGCACGTGACCTATAGCAAAAACCTCTCAAAAAAAAAAAAATTCTGCAACAATTGATATACAAAAATCATTTTGTGGTAGCCTTGAGATTCAAACAGTAGGTTGTGAAACCTCAGTAGAGCTGAAGACTTAGGAGGGTAGTTTTGAGAGTGCAGATCCACATCTAGGTAGCAAATCTGCTGTTTGGGGGCTCACTTAAACCTCTGTTTCCTATAAGATTTGGCAACAGTCCTTAATTCTGCTACCAAAACTGTCTACAAAGGGTCCAGGAGAAGCCACACACACCATTGCCTCGGTAGATAGGCCGGCCTGCCCATCGACATCAGTATGGGCAGTAGGCCCAAAAGTTATTCTCTAATTCAGCTCCAGAACCCTAACTGTGGTTCTAGCTTCCAGACAAAGACCAAGAAAGAAACTTGCCTCTCTGTAGCACTGGGACAATTTTGCTGGCCTCTGTGTCCCACAGATCCTGAAGTGGCACAGTCTCAGCTCTAGCCTCTCTCTGGTGTAGCCTGGAACAGATCCGAATGGCAGAAGGATCTGCCTGAAGACTTACCTGTTTGTACCACTAGCCCAGGCTTGTGAGCTAGCAAATCTGGAAGAGGTCTTGTCTTTGCTCCACCCCCTTTCTTTCATAGCCTGAAAGCTATCCTGCCAGTGATGGGAGACGAGCCTGTTTCTGTCACCATGACAGGGTAGCCAGCTTCCATCCCAGAGCAGATCCTAAAGAAGTTCTGAAATCTACTCCAGCCCCTCTTGGCAAGACTGGGAGCAAACCAGACAGCAAAGGAAACTGCTGGGAGATGGACCCATCTGTGTCGATGGGATAGGCTTGCCCTCTCTCCTTCCAAAGAAGTTTCTGATGGGCACTGAGTCTCAGCTGTGGTCTGAAAGATTCTGCCCACCTAGGAATGTGCTGGTAGTATTGCCCACTGCTGTCACTGAGTCATGGTTGCCGACCTTAGCCCCATACCTGATTCTGAAATAGCAGTGAAGCTCAATTTCAGCCTCTCCCACTTGAGCGCAATTTTGTCCGGCTGGGGACCCAGACGGGAGGCACACCCAGTGGTACCCCAGGAGGCAGATACACTAAACTTAGTCCCATTAGCGATAATGAAATGGCTTTACAAATTGGCATGAGTTCTTCCCAACTTCAGCCTGAAAACAACTCTGCTCAATCAGAAAACTGCTCTGGAGAACATGAGTACACACGGCCTTGGAGACAGGCCTACACATCCTGGTACTAAACATGGTAACTTCCATGAAATGGATAAATCCTTTGAAAGGCATACACTTAAGAAGAAAAAGAAGGAGAAGAAGAAAATAAGGAGAAATCATTTAGATATTTACTAAGTACAATTTTAGTTAAGCATTATTTGAAGAGTAACTATGAATAATTATGATTATTTTTTCAGAAGATTGAAAATGAACAGATACTTAGACCTGATTCTATGAGACTTTTGTTATCTTGAATGGCAAACCAGACCAGCACACTGTAAAAAATGACACTGTGGAATACTACTTGACCACTAATAATAATACTACTACTAATAATTCCTGTCATTTACTACAAAGTAGATGATTATAGAAGATTTAATGCTAAGCAAAGCATGTCAGACTATAAAAGACAGACTTTGTATGTCCCCGCTCAATATATACTGAATGTGTCTGCATTGTATGGCAGACACTGAAAGACTGGAAAACAGACTAGCAGAAGCAGGAAGTGTAGAAACAGTCCAGGAGGGTGTGGACAGTTGGGATGGGAAGAACAGTCTGGGGGGTGGGGAGAAACATTTAACAGACAAAAGAATGGAAAGTTATTGTGTATGGTAGTATTTTTGACTTGCTCGACAGGCAATGCATTTATGCTTTGAGAACCCACATGGTATGCTGTAAAAATGTACAAAGATGAAATGAAAATAATATAAAATACACTATAGGGTTGTATTTCTCATGCATATAGATGCAAAAATACTTTAAATTTTAGTAAAATGAATCTAATACTACTTTAAAAGGAAAATATCATGATCAAGCAAGATTTATCACAGAAATACAAAATTTGTTTAGTATTTGAAAATCAATTCCACCATACTAACAAACTTATCAATGAAAAAGGGAATGAAAACCTCAATAGATGACAAAACAACAACAACCAAAACTACTAGGTAAAATGCAGCATCTATTGCTAAGAAACTAAGAAACTAAAAGTGGAAGGGAAGGATCTCAGTCTCTGAGAGAGTATATGAAAACCTACAGCCAGCATCATACCTAATGGTTATTATGGACTGAAGGTCTGTTTTCCTACAAACTTCATGTGTTGAAGCCCTAATCTCCAATGTGTTGATATTAGTCACTACGGAAATGCGTTTTAAGACATACAGACGAAACTACCATAAATCTCTAAAAATAAGAGACCTTATCGAGTCTTGGAGAGATATATGAGCAACTGAGACTCTTATTCACTGCTGATGGGACTGTAAAGTAGCATAACTGTTTTGGAAAACCGCTTGTCTGTTTCTTTAAAAAGTTAAGTCATCACCTACAACATGATCCACACATTCCGTTCCTTGATACTTACCCAAGCCACATGGGAGCAAAAGATCGTACAAAAGTCTTCAAAAAGTTTGTGGAAAATGTATTCTGGAAGAACTGGTCCAGGGCCAGTGCAGACGCCCTGCAGCACCTGGTGAAGCCACTCAAACTGCAGGTCAGCGTGGAGAGGATCAGGGTCTCTCAGGCGACTGCGGAGCTTTGCCCGCGCTGCATGGAGAAAGCTTGCAAGGATGGTCGGTGTTCCAGCTGGAAGCAACCCTTCTGGGAGCCCAGACCCTGTGCTTTCCTCTGAAGACTTGAGAGAAGTTTCCCGAGGAATGCCTTTAAGCACAAACAGATAAACAACGGCCTCTATATCTCCAGAAAACACTTTTCTCTGGCAAATACCTTTTATGTATTTCAGACCTTCCCAGTGACCTGGTCCTATAGCCAAAATTTTACTGAAATTGATTTGCTTTTCCTGAAATAAGGAAATTAGGTGAATAAGAGTTTTTAGTCATAATGGCCTGGTTCTTTTGGCAACGCATTGTATTTGGGACAAAATATTTACTGCCAAATATAATAAAATACACACCTTTCATAAGCAAATCCCTAGTGTTTTTCTTTTTTTTTTCCCTTCAGTTTTTTGATATAGGGTGTGTATGCTCACTCAAGACACTTGAAGAGAGAAAGTGAGAAATCACCCCCCGAAGGATGGCGACATCTCAGTTCCTTCTCTTCCATTCTCCTCCTGGGATTTTGGGCACATATGCACATATGTTTTTCAAGCCCCTGGGTCCAGGACTCAAACCACACAGTTGGCCATATGGATTCGAACTGCCCCAACCAACCACCATACCACCTGGCTGGCCTTGAATTTATGATTTCTAAATAAAGACAAGAAAATTAAAATTAGGGAAAAGAATGGAGTTTACTAATCAAATGATGCCTTGGTTTTTCTAGATAAGCAGTTTATTTTATTTTTAACAATAAACATGAGAGCTTTTCCTTAGCAAACTTGTCTGGAAAGATTAATGCTATGTTTTAGGTTGCCCCATCCTGTATTATGAACCAATTTTGATTGCTGTTGTCTTAACTTCCTTTCCTTAGTTGTGATTGTACTTCAAGAAGAAATGCTACCTTATTACATGTCTTTAAAACTGTTTAAAATTTGGGGCCAGGGCCAGCAGGTGGCACGGTAGCTGACACACTGGACTCCCACATGGTTGACTGTGGTTCAAGTCCGGGATCTGGCAGCTTACTTTCTCACTTTTCTTTTTCCTCTTTCTCCCTCTCTGTCTCCCTTTGTCTCTCTCTGGTGAGCATTTATGCCCTACAGAAAATTTAAAATAATAATAAACATAAATATAAATAAAATATATAATTCTTTTTAAAAACATGAGGCCACCAGGTGGCATGGGTTTATGTCTTTGATTTAGTTTGGGACACTTTTAGAAGGATACTTTTTGCTTGTCATACATTTTTATGACAAACTTTTTATTTAGAAATAAAATTTCTGCTTAATTCAAAAAAAGAAAAGAAAGAAAACTATATGGGTAGCAAAAACTTGTATCAAAATACTGATACCTTAATTACATTTTCCACCAGCTTTTTTTTTTTTGGAGAGATTTTTGCTATAGGGCATGTGTGCTCGCCAGAAAGACAGAGACAGACAGAGAGACAGAAAGCGAGAAATCACCGCCCCAGGGGGGATGACCACGCTGCAATCCCTTCTCTTTCACTTTTTTCTTGGGATCTTGGGCACGGACGCACATGTACCTGGCGTGAGTTTAAGCCACCAGGTCCGGGACTTGAACCGTGGTCAACTACATGGGAGTCCAGCAACATAGCCATTATGCTGACTGCTGGTCCCTTTCCACCAGCTTTTTGAAGTTTCCTTATACAAAGACTGAAGAAGCCAGAGAAAGTGTACATACTATGTGACTCCATTTCAAAACCAATTTGAAATGAAGTCAAAACTTAAACATAAAAACCAAAAACATGAAACTAGTAAAAGAAAACCTAGAGCAAACATTTTACTGCATTAGTAGGGGCAAAGAGGTTTCGAATAAAACTTTAAAAGGACAGGCAACAAACACTAAAATAGAAAACTGGGATTCTATCAAACTAAAAAGCTTCTGGACAGCAAAGAAAATGATCATCAAAGCAAAGAGACAACCCAGAGAATGAGAAAAAAAATTCGCAAACTACATTTGATGAGATTAGTAACCAGAACAGACAAGGAACTCAAAACAACTCAACAACAATGATTGAAAAAAAAATCTGTAAAAATGGGCAAATGTTCTGAACAAGGCCTTTTCAAAAGAAAACATACAAATGGCCAATAAACATATGAAGAAGTGCTCAACATCATTATGTAAATGCAAACCCAAGGAAACAATGAGCTATCAAGTCATCTGAATTAGAATGGATGTTATCAAAATGATGAAAAATGAGAAATTCTGATGATGAGAATGCAAAGAAAGGGGAACTCTTTTATATTGTCATAGGGAATGTAAATTAATACAGCCATTATGGAAAATGGTATGGAAGTTCCTCAAAAACTAAAAATGGAACTGCCATACAATGCAGCATCCTATTAGTAGGCATCTATCCAAAGGACAGGAAAATCAGTATGCCCTAAAGACAGCTACACTCCTGTGTTTATTGCAGCACTGCTCATGCCAGCCCAGATGCGGAATCAGCCTATTGTCCATTAACAAACCAATCAATACAGAAAATCTCTAAATATATATGTATACGCTAAAGAACACTATTTACCCATTAAAGAGAATACAATTATGTTATTTGAGGTAACATGGGCCTGGTTGGACCCATACACCTTAGTGGCTTGAAAAACATGCTGGGCATATGTGCATGTGTGATCAAATCCCAAGAGGAAAATGGAAGAGAAGGGATTGAGGTGTCATCACCCTTCTAGGGGGTGATTTCTCACTTTCCCTCTCTCCATGTCTCTTGAGTGAGCACATGTACTCTATAGCAAACATAAAATTAAATTAAAATAAAATAAAATGAAACACCAGGAATTCACTTACGAAAGAGGTGCATAAGATGTTAAGTGAAATAAGCCAGGCACAGAAAGAGAAATATCACATGTTCTCCCTCACATGTGGAAATTGGAAACGTGACACATAGGAGAGAGTTTGAAAATGGCTAGTAGAAGGGGCCAGCAGGTGGCGTGGTGGTTAAGGTGCTGGAAATCCCACATGGCCAATCACGGTTCGAATCTTGGACCTGGTAGCTTGCTCTCTCACCCTCTCTCTCTTTCTCTCTGCCTGTCTTTCTCTGGCAAAAACTCATGTTAAATAATAATAATGAAAATGACTAGTAGAAGCTGGGAAGGATTCAGAGGCAAGGTGGAGTGATGTTGATTAATGGGAAAAAAAAGGGTAGATAGCTAGGCATGACCATTTCCAGTACTATAAAATGCAGTGGAGTGACTCTGCAGTACTAAACAATTTACGATTGTCAGAAAAGGATGACGTATTTTTCTGTGTTTTTCTATGCCAAATGATGTGACTTTTCCGACCCCCCAACATATCAGAGTAACTAGAAAAGAGGTTTTTGAATATTTCCACCATGAAGTAATAACAAATCGTCAGGATGTTGGATACATTAATTATCCTGATTTGATCATTGCCCATTGTATTTTTGTACTGAAAAAATCAAATCGTATTCCACAAATATGTATAATTGCTATGTGTCAATTAAAAATACTTAGAAAATTCAAACTAATGAACAGTAATAGAGAGCAGATCAGTGAAGGGCACAAGGAAATTTGGGGTTATGAATATCTTCATTAACATGATTGTGTGATGATGTCACCAGTGTATAGATATATATAAATATTTCATATTGTACATTCTATGAGCAACTTACTGTGTATTAGTTATACATCAGTAATGCTGTTAAGAAATTCTTTCTTCCAAAAACTGGCCAGAGGGCACATGTATTTGCCAGAGAAAGAGGGGCAGCGAGGAAGAGAGGGAGAAACACTCCCCGTGGGGTAGTGATCTCATCTCAATCCCTTCTCTTTCATTTCTCTCTCCTTTCATGATTTTGGGCATGTACACATACATGGCTGGCATGTTTTTCAAGCTGCCTGGTCCAGGACTTGAACCATGTAGTCTGACCATGTGGAATGCTGCTCCCTTAACTATTATTTTATTTTATTTATTTTATTTTTTTTGGAGAGGTTTTTGTTATAGGGTGCGTGCGCTCGCCAGACAGACAGAGACAGAGAGACAGAAAGCAAGAAATCACCCCCCAGAGGGGATGGTCACGCTGCAATCCCTTCTCCTCCTGCATTCTCCTCTTGGGATTTTGGGCACACATGTACACACACCCCGTGTGAGTTGAAGCCACTGGGTCCAGGACTTGAACTGTGGTCGACTACATGGGAGTCCAGCGACACAGCCATTACACCAACTGCTGGTCCTACTGCTCTCTTAACTATTAAGCCATAGGCTGGCCCCCCAAAAGAAAATATTTCAATAAGTAGATTTTTTATAAATCTCATTGACATCTTGCTATGTGCATTAATAACTGTCAATGATGCTGTAATTATATTCAGTCTCATTTTTACAGAACAGGGCAATTGAGAAATCTCTCAGCTCCTTGCAATGCAGACTGTAAATGCTCGTCTTTGATTTATTCTTCTATATGCGGAAGAGATGATATTGAATATTTCTCTCCTTGCTTTGGAGGTTGTAGAAGTTCTAAACAGTTAAGCAGGCAAAAGGTAATTATTTTTTATTATGCTTCTTTTTTTTCCCAGTAAGATGTTCAACTTGTAGATGTTGTTTACATTTGACTTCTAGTTCTTTATGAAAGTACTCCCCCGACTTTTCCTTTGTTTAAATGTGTAAAATAAAACAAGAGAATTTGTTCTATGTTGCTACAGTACTAAATAATGGGAATTGGGAGTGGAAAAGATATTCCTGTTATGAAAATATGCCTCCGTATATGATGTCACACCAGCTTTATTGTTTTAGAGCCGTGAACAGCTGTCACCTACCTCTTGACATAGCAAAATGGAAAGAAATGATCCAACACATTTTGTCTTCCACTAATGTAGTTTCTCTTAGTTCTGTGCCATCAGCAGCACCCAATCGCCCAAGACCTTGAGCAGCCTGGGAGGCAAACAGACCGCTCCCTGACAACCAATCGTATCCTCCTGATGCATTGTGCTCATCCTTGCCCAGCCTCCTGGCTATGTAGGGCCATACGTATGTGCCTTCGTGCTCAGCTCATTTACACTGGGACGGGAATAGAACCTGGACTTTTCATGCAGCCTCAGCCACCACAAAGGGGTGCCTTCCCACCTGGACCACCATGGCTGGACTGACTTTTTGCAATTTTTTATTTGTTTTTGTTATAGGGCATGTACACTCTTCAGAGAGACAGAGAGAGAAAGAAGGAAAGAGAAATCTCCCCCAGTGACCACAGTGCAATCCCTTCTCCTCTTGGGATTTTGGGCACACACACACGTACCCTGTATGATTCTCAAACCGCCAGGTCTGGGACTTGAGCTGCAAACCTGGCTATGTGGGATCTAGCACCTTACCCTCCAAACCAGCTGCTGGTCCAGTTTTTTGTTTTGTTTGTTTGTTTCTTTCTTTCTCTCATTAAATTTATTTTATTTTTTTCAAAAATTGTAGAAAAACTTTATGAATAGATTCTTACACAAGAATCTAAACATATTCAAGAAAAACATATGCAGAGCACCCAAATTACCAGAAAGGTAAACCCCAGCCCTTCTTTTTTGTTATGGGATAAAAAGAACAGAAAAGAGGAAAAATGATCTTTTTTGTTCTTTTTGTTAAGTTTTTGATATAGAGCTCGTACACTCACAGGAAAGAGACAGAGAAAGAGAGAGGGAAAATGAGAAAGCTCCCCCCATAGGGGGGTGACCACACCACAATCCCCTCTCCTCCTCTCTCCTCTCAGGATTTTGGGTATGCATGCATCTATGCACACATGCACACATGCCTGGCATGATTTTCAACTCACTGGGTCTGGGACTCGCACCACGGTCAGTCATATGGAAGGCCACCATTTTAACCACCACAACACCTGCTGGCCCCTCCTGCTTGTTCTTAATTGTGGCCACCTATGCAGTCAGTTTTTCAAGCAGAGTTTCTATTCCTTTGCTAGGATTTTTGTTTCTTTCCGACGTGGGAATCGGGCCTTTCAGTATAGCTCTGACTTTGTTTGCAACTTCCTGGTTAGGACTCTGCAGAAGGCTAGAAAGAATAATGACACCTCAGTTTATACTAGCCCGGGACTTCAGGTTCTTCATACCCACATGCTCTACAAGTGTTTTTGCAAAACAACCTTCTCTTCCATTTTCTTTCATCTTTTTATCTTGTTCTATTAACCACTTCAGTACAGGATGTCCTGCAGGATGTTCTGCAACATGAAGCTCTCTGTCCTTGCCTCCGGGGTGTAGTTCTGCTGCTGCCAAGCTGGCGATTGCATCCGTGGCCAGCTGCATATCGCTGGTGGCAGATCCCAGAATGCCAGCCACCAACACACAGGCAGACTTATCTAGCACCAGGGGCATGTCCTTGCAGGTAGCTTAACAAAGCTGGAGAAATGGAGTCCAACAGCTCGTGTCGGCGGATTTCTGCCTTTCTTACTGTGTGCATTTCCGTCTCCTTTCTGCAGAACTTCGATGATTTCTCAGACCGTATGTGCAGGGTCTCCGGGGCTTAGTAGATATAACAGGACCTTCCTTCCGTATTTGTCAGCTACTGTGTTAGGTAAAGAACAGATCACTTCTGGTATGATTATCTGCTCCACAAGCTATTGTCAATACAGCTGAATACTGCCAGTAAAGTCAAATGGGAGTATTAGCCATTACCCACCTTTTCTACATAAGTCTTCATTGTTTTCACAATTACTTGCCTGTCCTTGGGCGTACCATACCGCAGGCAGTGCATGGCCACTCTGGCGCCATCATGTGTGTGTGCCACGTATATCACTGCTTCACGGATGGCTTCAATCAGTTCTGATCTGAGATATGGGGGTGCAGAGGTAAAAACGTCTAAGAATACTTTATGCACCAATGAGTGCTTAATCACAGCTTCCTTCTGGGCCATTGGAGTTAGAATCTGCTTCATTTCATCCATAATGCGCTCTCATTTTTCAGGCTTTGTCTCTAACATTTTGTCCAGAGTTGGGTGATCTGCTGATTTGTAAAGCTGAAATTTGTTCCCATAGTGCTCCTCTGTCAGCATGTTCCTCTGTTCCAGGATGGCTTTGTCATTGTAGGCGTACTCCACGATGGCCGATGCTTCTGTGTGTCGCAGCATCTTCCGCACGTGGCCTTTAAAACTTCTGATTACCTCTGCAATCTGTGGTTTACTTCTATATGTGAGAAATTTCTTAACAGTATTTCTGGAGTATTTGGCTTTACTCAGTTTGACCAAATCACCTCGCAGTTCTTTGAGGGCCCGTTTTCTCTTGTTCTTCGTTACCATACTGAATGTAACACTGGATCACCCGAGTTGAATCGTGTGCAAATGCAATAGTTTTAATTTTTCCTTGAATCAATTTCTGTAAGTCATTCATCCACTTTACTCTTTTTTCTTGTCACAGTCTTCCCTTCTTAAAATCTCCCAGATCTGCTTGGCCCAAGCGGCAATGTCATAGTTGGTTTTGTCATTAAGTTGCCTACTCTGCTTCAGGTCTCTCTTCTTCTTTTCGTCACTTTGACTGTCTGGAATTTTCTCTTCTTGTGGAATTTATTCGCCTGTTGGAATTTGTTCTTAGGTGCTTTGTCCCCTTGTTGCTTTATAGAACTGCTTTACTTTCCCCAGGTTTCTCAAAGTTCTTTGATGTGATTTTAGGTCCACCTTCCTTAACAACTTCTCTTGGGAATGTCTTTGAAGAGCCAGAGTCACTGTTTTTATGGAATCTCTTTTTTTCTTGAAATGCCTTTGTATTGCTTCCTGTTAATTTTTTTCTTCACTTTGACTTCCATCGTATCAACTCCCACATGTGGGGCCGAAGTGAGAGCTAGAAGCAGATCTCCAATCCTGCTTTCGCTTCTGTGCCTGACTCCCTCTTTATCTCATTTAAAGAGGAAAACAAAAACATTAGAGAGAGACTTTGCTATAGAGCATGTGCACTCCCTGGACAGAGAGAGACAGAAAGTGAGAAATTAGCCCCCAAGGGAGGATGGTCATGCTATAATTCCTTCTCCTCCCTTCTCTAGTTGAGATTTTGGACATGCATGCAACTGTGCCTGGCATGAGTTTAAGCTTCCGGGTATGGGACTCCAACTACACTCAACTATGTAGGAGTCTAGTGACGTAACCATTCTGCCATCTCCTGGTCCCTAGCCCAGTTTTTTAACAGAACTTTTAAGTTGTAATCAACAGGGGGAAGGAGATTTCGAAGATTTCTATCTTGTCAGGAAAGGTACTCTCATATTATTTTAAACACTGTATAATTTCATAATTATGTTACAAATAATGATATAACTATCCTGGCTAATTAATTTCTGTTGAATAACTCAGCAAAATACCTTCAGTTTATAGAAGTATGTGTATTTTAGATGTATTTTTTGGTTTGGAATAAATTTTACTGTATCTAGGAACAATTTTCCATGTATTTTGAAGGCAGGTGAGGCTGTCTTATTGTTCCATCAAAGATAGAGCTTACTTCTCTTTTTTTGTTGTTTGGTTTAACTTCAGGGATGCCATTGAGTAGTTACCTTTATAGTCTGTAAGTGACAGAGAGCGTGTATACTTTCTCTAGTGTTCTCCCACAGTACTTGGCTTCATTATGTCACTCTTAGTCTAACATTTTCTCAAAGAATTATTTTTAAAATTTTATTTATGATTATTAAATTTTTCAACTTGCAATAGGGCATGTGTACTCACCAGAGAGAGACAAAGAGAGAGAGAGAGAAAGAGAGAGAGAGAAAGTAAAAAAGCAAGCTGCTAGGTCTGGAACTCAAACTGAGGTTGGCCATGTGGGAGTCCAGCACCTTAACCACCATGCCACTTGCTTGTTCCTCTGTGACATATTTTATATTAAAATTATTTGCACAGATCCATTTCTGAAATAGTCAACAAGTTTATAGAGACAATACTACTCAACTCTAGAAATAGAACATAAACAAGGGCTGCCACTGTAGCCTAATGGTTAAAGGAGTGGATTCTACATGGTCAACCAATTTGAATCTCAGCCCAAGCAGTTTGAAAAACACTCTAGGTACATATGTGTGTGTGCCCCAAATTCCAATGTGATAGAGACATGGAGAAGAGATTGTGGCAGGACTATACTCCTGGGGTGTGGTGGGGTGGTAATTTCTCTCTCTGTTTTCTTTCTTGTAAGCACACAGCTTCTGACAATTAAAATATATATAAATAAAAGCAGCAATAACAAAGATTTAAGAAATATTTTTAAAAATTCTACTCTTTTTTAAGTTCAATACATTTTTTTAATTTAAATTTATTTATTTACATTCATTCACTGTACATCATTATAGCATACAAAATGAGATTTTCCATCCAGAATACACTGTATATTGGCTCAATCAAGCACATCAACATACGTGTTATTGCCAGCAAATAATTTTCTATTTCTTGTTTCCTGTATATTTTGCTTGTTTTCCCATCCTTGATTCCCTATCTCTCACCCTCTGTCATCTTCCACCCTCCTCCCACACTGTCTCTGGTATCTATGGTTGCTTTCTATTCCTTTCCCCCCCCACACATTTTATTGATT